ACCGCCCTTTAAATGTACTAAATGATCTCAATAAAAAATCCATCAAATCACAACATACCTGTCCGCTGCGGAGTCACTGGCGGAGTATGTGACGGTTTCACACTCATTTTGGCGGATTGCTTTCTTTTAGTCGGCGCTTCAACGATATTCTCAGTCACAGACACCATAGTCTCTGCATCTTTACCGTTACATGACGCTTCCGTTTCTAACGTATCGGTATCTGCCTCGAATAATGACCCAAGTGATCCATGGTGTCTCTTCTTTAAATAATGTGAGAAGGCGCTGTTTTCTCCATCTTCCTGCTTTGATTCTACGTTCGAGTTGCTTTTAGACTGAACTGCGGTCTTTTGCACTAAATAGACACAAATACAGTATACTGTCACATCATTGGGCTGTACTGGGTGGATTTTAGTAACGTGTGCAAATCACAAATACAGAATGATGTATGATGGATACTAGTTTTACGTGACCATTTTATACTTGCAGTCGCGGTGAATCAACAATTTGATTTGCTAATAATTCGCTATGTTGTTTGATACTAGTACATGTATTATGAAAACTACTGACGTACGTAGAGATACAGACACAGAGTGTATTATGCTTGCGGATCGAATTCTAATATCGTGTAAATGAAAAATGGGTTACGACTTGGGAAAGCGGCTACTCAAAATTTGTGAAAGTTGGTCATGAATCACGTGACAATGTGATTTTGTGAGACAATATGTCGCAACAGGGATTTGTTCTATCGTTTTTTTTAGACAATGGTAAATAAAAATGCAATTTTTGTGACCCACATTTAAAAATAATTTAATAATAGTTGGCATACAAATGTGTGACCCAGGTCACGATGTCTCATTACCTTGATTGCTTCCTCTTGCCAGTCGTGGTGGCGCTGTTCGCGCTCTCCTTGGCAACAGGTTGCTGGCGTTACTAGAAGAGGGTCTTGGTGGTTTGGGTATTGCTATCGCGGAGAATGGTCGTCTGCTGATGAAGGGTTCAAAGTCGCTGAAATTCTCGAACGAACTCTGACCTGGATATGCATTGAATCGTCGCGACGACAGCTGATGTAACGGCGATGACATGGTTCTGCGTTGATGACGTCACACGGGAGTTGACACTTGTCGAGACTTTGGAATCCAGATTCCTTTTACTACAAGAAAACACACATGGGTGAAATATTTAACAAATTAGCATGCGAATATTGAGCCCCACGTCATCTCCACGTTTAATACTGTATTGAGTAGCAATAGGGTAAGAAGCAAGAGGCGGAGCCGAGTTCGTTTATTGAAACACATAGCATACAATGGGTTTCATGAACACAACGTTAAACTAAATAATTAAATACTAAACTTTTCTTTTTATCTTTTGTATAGTGGGAGTAGTGCAACTTTGATAATGATCGCTGCAGTGCCAAAATGTGTGAACTTGAATAATTTACACGATTAAATCATATATACAGTTTAAGTATACACTACTATTTTTCCAAGTGAAATACATAATTCGATGTCTGAGTCACATAACTTCATACTTTCTCGTTGTTGTATTTTTAATCAGTTATATATTGTATTGGATTTCAGGTTATGTTAAATATATACTATGGAGCATAGGCTTGTCATGGTTGAATTGCCATTATACAATATCTTTTCTACACTTTATTTACTCGAAGAAAAACCATGTCACTTGTTAAACATATACGTCTTTTCTAACACGAAATACAAACTTTTTCAACAGAGCACATTTTCTCTAATAGAATTGCGGGAAAAAAATGTATGTGATTTTTTCACTTACAAGTGACCTTACCTGTGCCACATCGTAACGTTTTACAGTCGCTTATGACTACTATGTGTATTTTAACACACGTGTTGAAAACGATACACTACATTATAATGCCTCGTTAAAATTAAATAGAAAAGCCACAGTCTTGACTTCACTGCCATAATTTTTGCCGAGACCTGCAACTTTGTTGTGGCGATTCTCGTACGAGTCATTGTGAACCGACGTGCCATATAGTGTTATTATACTGTGTTTAGGATACTGCACTCCCTTATTTCATATTGCATTCTAATTTATTAGAATAATTCATGATTGTCATTTGTGTTCATATTCTGGAACTCAGAAATTACCTTTGTGGTACCACATACATATACACGTGTTAAAATATTGCGTGATATAATATACTCATGAAATCTACACCTACAATCATTTTGCTCAGTATTACGTGTATTTTAAAATATACACTAAATGACACAAACGTAACAGCAGCTTGAACACTTTATCTACCGTATGTATGTGCGTGTGTGTGTGTGTGTGTGAGAGAGAGAGAGTATTTCAACAGCGGACAATCTTGTCTAATTTCGCTGTGCAATGATGTGTTACGGGGTGGGGATCAACAGCGTGGGAACTTTCAAACAATCTTTTTCACGAATGACAGATTATGATTTAGATTGATTAGCGCCAAAGGTCAACTTTAATAATAGCATCGTTTACTGTTGCCTGGCAACGTATAATGTGTTTAAAGCGGAGTGAGGAGGTATTCCAGCGAAATCGTCACCTTCTAAGTGGTGCGATTATTTAGTAATCTTGTTCGACATCCCAGCAACTTCATTGGCAGTGTTGTCCGAAAAAATTAGGACATGTTTCCGTTATTGAGGTCACGTCCATTTCTTACTAGGTGTTTTGTGATAGTATATAATCCCCCACGTATCAACAAAAGAGTGTACTTCTCTTTTAAATTTGTGGTTAACAGATTGTGCACCGTTGATCCGCGGTTACTAACCGTGGTTGATCCATTGTTGGCGTCACGAACTTACAAACCAACAACAAAATACAATTGATTGTCGCTAATATTTGTTAGATTTGTGTTTTGGGCACGAGACTTGAAATTCAATGATTGCAGATGCTTGAGAGACCGTCACTATGACAATATTTCTATGCCTGATTACGTAATGTCATTTAAAAAGATACAACTTAAAAGGGCAGTCTTCATTTTCTTTCCCCTCCCCCAGCCGGGAGTGAGCGCAGTGCATTGTGGGTGATATGATCGGAGTAGTAACATGGTGGCGAGCAATGCTCGATAATCAAACTATTGTTGTGACAGTAGTGACACCTTTGTCACGGATAACAGATCGCTGGTTGAGTTATTGAACTCTATAAATAATTATATTTAAACCCGTGTTTGTCTGTATGTTTCACGGGACACTGGCGTTACCGTGGGTTTCATTTCGTGAGCGTAGCCTTCTAATTAACAGAGTTCATCATGATTCGAAAACTCCCCGCAGGTGATCATCGGCTTTCTACGCGAACTCATCCAACTCATTTTACATACGTGTATGGTGGTCACAGCTCGCGATTGGCGGGTTTCGTCACGTGACATCTATCTTATACGTGGTACAATGACCGACTGTCCGTGGCGTCAGTGGTACTGATAATAACGAGGTAACACAAGTGTTTGTTTGTTTTGTTTTTTATAAAAAAACATAAGAACATGAATCGATCTCTGTCATTTCAACAAAATACTGTCACAATATACATCAATACTGGTACAATGTGAACGTGATGTGAACTGTCTGTGTTGGTGTGGACACATTGTGAATCGATTGTCTATGATCAATAATTGATGTTGTCTGTCGGAGTATGCAAATTTCCGTAAAAAGATTGTAATATTAAAATAGCATGATTCGTTATTCAGCCTAAATTTTGTACTTAAAAACTACCTCTGATTAATTACTAAAATGTCCGATAAATGAGTTATGTTCCAACGCAATACTGTGGTACATTTAATAGTATTATATCATAATAATCCATTTCCTCCGATAAGTCATAATCTAAATGCTAATTGCACTCATAGTTGGGTTGGCAGGAAGCATTCTATTTTAATATCGATGCGATGAGTGTCAGAATGTGTTTGCTCAGACAGAAATCCAAAGAAAATACGAGCTTGCACTCATCGATTGAAAAAACAGTCTCGTATTTTTGTAAAGGAACTTTGGCCGACTACAGTAATTGAAATATGATATGAGCACCGTGTTTAAGTGAACAGTGGAAAGTTGTAGAACAACTTGCAAGAATGCATCACGTTAAAGAATTACGGTAAAATACTGGTAAACACTAGTCATTGTTTACTTTTCTCTCAGTCCACTCCATGCCAGCACGCAGAAAACAAACTTTGATAATATCGTATTTGTACAGCCTACACACACCAGTATATGTATCAGCTTGGAGATATATTTATGAGCGTGTAGTAGTTAAAAATACGTAGAAGTGATTGTTTTGCCACCACAAAAACAAAACAAAGAAAACAGTAAAGTTATAATCTGCAAGGTATGCTGGGTAATGTTAATTTATTACAGTTGACATTTATAGTTATGGAGTGTTTGCTAGTGCTTAGTTCCACACAAACAACACACTCGTTGGGCACGTCACGATGCGAACACGACTGATCCGGCGATGTCAGAGTGAGAATATGCTTTTTTGTAGGCGCTCAAATAGATTTTTGACGAAATAACGAACCATGCATGTTTCTGCGCATGCACATTGAATTCTTGGTACGTACTATGAATTTAAAGTTCAGGCTTACGATCAAATAATATTTTCAACTCAGTCCGAGTCGTGTGATTAGTTAAAGGGGCACTTGCAGTTAAGCCTAATCTCACAACAAATATAATTTCGGGGTTAAAACTACAATGGATAACAAAAGATAGATTAACTTTGTCCCCTTCAAATGGACATCGCCCGAGTGGGATGATCGTGAAGGAATCGAGCGGTTGTAGCTTTACACATCACTGGCTACTAGATTTGAAACTACCTTAATTTGGCGAAGATTTGATTCAGGTTAGTCATGGCGTGTACGTCATCGCCCAAAACTGTAGTTCGTACTAAATGATAGTCGGTATTCGTACGTGTCGGAGCGATAACTTGCATATAAAGACGTCTGTGTCAACACAAACAGCGGGACACAATGATACTAAGACCGTTATTGTCAGCCATAACATTTATAACAGGAAGAAATAAATCGATATCGACGAGTCTTCGTAGTATACTGGTTCGAAGGTGAAAACAACAAGTACTGTGTTTTATCTGTGTCGCAAACTGTTGTTTTTGTAACTGATGTTTACAATGTAAATCACATATTGACAATACTGTGACTGTGACTGTGACCTCAAGGCGTCGATGCGTAATCAAAAATTCTGTAATGAAACTGAACTAAACGCGGATCAGTCCTGTTAGATCGGACCATGTGATGATGTTAATTGAATTTTTAAAACGTTCAAGGTCAACAGTATCGATTAATTTGACCCGGCCATTATCTTACTTTGAGACCAGTGTCCGTGACATGAGTAGGTCATCTTTACACCGATGTATATTATTTTGTTATCTACGAGAATCGTAAAAATATAACTGTTTTATCATCTTCAGAAAGATCAGTGTAACATTTCTGTGTTGGTACAAAATGTTCGATAAATCCTTTAAATTACAAATTTATCATAGTAACAAAGATAATCATCGCAGGCACGTAACGCATGTAAAATGAAACAAACTAAGGTAGCAGGGTAAGGTAGGGTCTATTTAAGACGTCTGTATTGTATTATGGTTGACAATGGCATTTGTCTTCAAAAAGAAAGACGCACGATTTTCTTCAGTCGCTATTGTGTGATGTCACTAAGCCCAAAAATACTAGTGTCTTTGCTAAAACTAACGTTTTGTCAGCGTCGCTGCCAGCTAGTCTGAAGTGCCCTAGGCTGCATACGCTGTAGATATATCGAAACGTCTGAGTGTGATTTTAATAAATTAAAGAAGAACGACTTTATTTCGAGACCAATAAATGTATCGTTTTTGTCATATTTCCATGAATATTCAACTGTTTTGGGAATAATCACCTTGTCAAGATTACAAGTTGTTCGTGATTTGTCGTCAGACTCTCGCTTGTAAAGCTGACATCTATTTTTTTCATTTCGCTCACTGCGATTGAGTGTCGAGAATAAGGAATATGCATCTGTCGGTGAATAGAGTGTGTTTTACCAACAACTCGCTTTAACAACAAATAAATATATATATATATATATCGACAACGCGCGTTACTCAGACACCAATTAAGCAAGAGCGGGTTCTTGCCACGGTGACGTTAAATACTGAATTAAAGTCGCCGGGAGGTAAGAATACCTATCGTGGTTGTTCATAATTATTACAAGGTAGTATGTATATACAAAGGTTGTGTTGCTCATTAAAATACTGCGTTCCTTGCACCCAGGTTACAGCTTATAGAACACGGACCATTCGTCTACCGATTTTTTAAAACTGCATCTTAATAACATTAGTAATAATAATGATTAATAATGATTACTAATAATATAACAATTATTATTATTATTATTATTAATAATAATAATAATAATAATAATAATAATAATAATAATAATAATAATAATAATAATAATAATAATAATAATAATAATAATAATAATAATAATAATAATACGATACATTCCAAATCACTCTAATCAATATGTAATGCTATAGAATATCAGTTAGCGAAACGACTGATTGATATGAATAATAACTTAGAACTAAATGTAATACCATCTTTTAATTTATAACATTCGATATATCGGTCCTATCAGATATTTGCTATTATCAATACAAAATAAGTACTATTTTTTATTATATATATTTCAGCTGCAGTGCTGGGAGCAACAATGGCATTCACTTGGTCCAAACATTGTCGGAATATTGCAAATATAAATGGCCCGCTTTAACAGTAATTGTGTGCAGTCATATCGAATTATACGCTGTGATTAACACGAGGCAGGCAAATTTAACCGGCGATTGAACTTCGCATCGGTCAATAACGTGAAGATTGCTGGTTCCGTTGTGCATTAAATTCTCAGGTGTTGCGTTGCGATTTGATTTATTAAAATGATTTATAATTTTGTATTTGTGGTGGATTTGAAGTCGACACCAATTTCTGAACATTTGCTCACAAAGCCCCATGTACACAAATCCCTGTGTACTAGTACCTACAATACACCATCGTTGCGCCGAGTAACGCGATAAGTGTCACTGTTATCGGACAGGTCCGAGTCTATATCACCTCCATGCTGTTAAACAAGCACCGCACTCATATAAATCATACGCTACGAAGCATGCTACCACGAACCTTTATGTTTAGCTTCGTGGTGCGTGTATGTCTAAGTGTGCGGGGAACCGATGGCTACGTTCAGGACAGTTTGATACATCAGCGGTTCGGTCTGCACACCTCTGCTGTGTTCCGACAGTTATATAATAGCCTCCCCGTTAGAAATTATGCCCAGGGTCATATAGCAACTTGAAATATACCATGTGTTCACGCTGTGATATTGTAAAGCGATCCCTATGTAAGACGTCAACATACCTTCTCTCCGCCACAGCGCCCCGTAACTCCTCTAAGTCCGTGAACCACAAAATTAACTATATGAGCCCGGCGACTCGGCATATGACTGCCACTCCACGCGCTACAAAGGCTTGTTTTTTATCCTTCGATGTAATTGTTGTCGACTCGAGGACCTTGGTAACCACACTCGACGCACCTATGCGGTGACAGTGTCCACCTACGGCCACAAATCGTATACAGTGCAAACACGCTGAAACTTAGTCAGCGTGGTACAACTTAACACAGCGGTGGAATGAGGTCACTGTTGTCATGGTCACGAGACCCAACAAAAATAGCGTGGTCGCGAATAGATTACAAGGTTGGTTGAGGGTTTTGTTATTTTGATGCCTATTGTCCATTTGTGTCAACCCTCCCAGCGATGTTATTCTTTAGTCCTCCAAGCTTCGAACTACATGAAATTAGAAAATGTTTCTATAGGATTTAAGTCCAACCCTGACAGCCAAATTTCCTCAAAGGGGAATTAACGGCGTTCTGCTGGGCGAGTGCGTTTTTATATACCAATAAATTGAATCATGATTCATGAACAAATATTAATAGTGACACGTGTGCCATTTTCCCTGGATAAATCTGAAATAAACGGTGAATTTATTTAAGCAAATTGAAAGAGTTTTAGCTGACATACTGGTATTCTTCCTCTACGTAGAACTCAACGCAGACACTCAACGTAAGCAAGTTTATTTATTTATTTATTTATTTATTTATTTATTTATTTATTTATTTATTTATTTATTTATTTATTTATTTATTTATTTATTTATTTATTTATTTATTTATTTATTTATTTATTTATTTATTTATTTATTTATTTATTTATTTATTTATTTATTTATTTAGTAGAGTACACATCGCGACTCGTATATTTGGCGCCATACCAAAACCAAACATAAAGTGTCAATACATAAAACCATAGACCTTAATTAAACATATCAATATAGTTCATGCTCCAAGTGTGTCACTTACTAATTATACTAACTACCGGTCCTCTTTTCAAAAACCTAGTATCAAACCTCACTCATTAATATCTTTTTCTCCTTTTTTCGCCACTTTATAAGATTGTTTTTATTATTTATTCCTCATTAAAATCTTCTCATTGCTTCATTCAGATTTCATCTAGAATTTATTTGTATTTCGATATAAAACGGCATAGCTTTATCGCTATTACCTTGTTTTCAACGAATGGCGTAATATCACCATAAAACGAAAATGTTTCATATTGCTGAAAGTAGGTTCGTCTCACACGAACTTTACAATACGCACAGGAAATTACTCACGAACACGGTTTGGTACAACCTGCTCCATGATGATGTCGCTGGGCGACCATAATAAATCTCAAGATATCACAGACACTTTAGTCTTTGGGCGTAATACATGAATACAGACTCTCAACCGTGCGTGCGCTCGTAAGTAAAGAACTAAAGTAACAACAGCAACGCCAACTCCTGGGGGGGGGGGGGGTTCTCTGGCTGTCAAATTAAGCAACATTCACACATCATTTCTCTCTGATGTTGTGCCTTTCGCTGGTACCATCCGTTTACTGTGCGATCCACGTAACTGCAAACAACGTACACATTTTGTAAATGCGTTGTACGCGTCGCAACGACAACGACAGTGATGACGTGTTAACGTGACGTAGACATTGAAGAGTTAATGTCCGAGATTCGGCGGAAATTAAAACGCAGTAAGGGAAAATTGATACGGCATTCGAAGAAAGATGTTTCCCGTTACATTCTAAAACAGTCGATTAGATGTAAAATAATAATGTCAGTGTGTGACTGACGGATGAATTATTTCCACAACTGAAACTTCACATGTAACGGACAGGTGTCATAAATATGTGTTCATCAACGTGTACGCTGTTTGCCACATTGTAGATTTTATGTTTGCCAAACATCGCCGAAATACACAATTCCTGTAAATCGTCAAATCGCTGTTGTGACGCCAAAATGACGTAATAATATATGGGTGACGGCGAGGTCGTTCCAATCACCGTCCGTTGAGGGACGGTGTTCCAATCAACCAGTCTGTATAGTTGTATAGTTGTTCGTCATCTATCACCATAGTCGACTAGAGATCATACAAATATCGGTGTTTTGAACTGCCTAGTACGTGTCGCCCAATAGACGACTTTCGCGGAAGTCGAAGATACGGCGTTTCGCATGTGTGCGCATGCCGTTTTGGGTTGTAACGTAAACTTTCACGTGTGATATTGTGTTTCTGGGTGCACCAATCGACGTCACAAAAATAAAATTCCCTTCTATCGATTGTCAGCAAACTTGTCTCTTTCGCTATGATAAAGCAGGAGTATTTTCGCATCCCAGTTTTGCTACTTCCGGGAAAGTCGTCTATTACGTCATAGACGCGCTTCAACACTAGAGGGCGCGATTTATAGGAAATGTGTATTAAATATTAGCCTTTGTCTAATATGATATCATAAAATATCAGTCATATGAAAACAATATCTTCAAGTTTTAGCATACTCGAGTTTCGAGTCTGACTAAAATTAGATTATTTGAGCGTGAGTGGCAATTGAATTCCCGGCAGCAACCACAATTGTCTATCGAACCACGGCATTCAATGTTGAGGGACGGTGATCGAACACAATAATATACGCGCATTGACCAAGGACCCCTCTAAAGGTAGCACCATACAATGGACGGGTCGCATTGTGGCCTTTTTGCCGTTCAACCGACCTCGGGCGTCCAGGTCATTTGAACATGAAATCGGAGCGTGATAGTAAGTCAGGGACGCTATGTATACTCTATGTATACCGGTGTTCGGTTCGTGCACTTTGTGCCTCGCTATGAACAATGTTCATTTCCATCAAGTCGTTGCAACAAAAGAATGGCGTAATTTGTATTGGAGGCACACAAACAATACACATACAACCGATGTGATCATAAGATGTCTATTCTCACCTTGATATTCTTTGTACATTTGCACGCCAGTCACGTGTCCTTCGTAATGTAATGAAGCAAACAAGTATTTAACAAACGCTATTTGTAGGTCATGTGACTAATGGGGAATAGTCTAACAATTGTTATACTAGTATGCAATTTATTGTTAGGCAAAAGAAAAATAGTCCCATCTCTACTGGAAACGATAAAAAGCAACGAACTAGAAGTCGCAACTGTTTTTAATTAAATATGTTTATACCTGGAGACAATCTCAGACAGATAATGTTAGTGTCGTTTCTCCTGTGAATAAAAGCGTATTTGCTACATAAATTATACTCCTCCATTGGGAGCATGTGAGAAGAATGCGTGACGATGTTCCATCATGGTAACATTATGGCTATTATTGAATCTTGGCGCCAGTCAGACCTGATCGAAAACAAGCTCAAAGTCTACTTTGCTTATTTGTTTGGGCGATTCCGCAATTCGCATCTGAAAACAACTTGGAAAGTATGCGGACAACAGGTCTCCGCATCGGAATGCCAACACAGGTGCAACTTACAATAAACAGAACACACCGAGTTAATTTATGACTTATGAATTTAATGGCAGCATTCCTGAATATACAGACGCGTGAGTAAACCATGCAGCTATTACCCCGGCACCCAGCATGCGATAGCACAGTTACAGAAATATGGTTATGTGGACAACAATAGAACTTTTGTGACGCAGAAGAAACCCATAACAGGTGCAGATAACATCAATAAGTCATGTAACATATAATGATCGATTCAGTTCTCAATCGATCAAATTTCAATAACAGTGACGATATATATCATTATATGTTATTGCTTCAACCACGTTCGGATTATTAGGGACGAACCATTATTTCTAAAGGGGTGGTCGCTTCGTTCATTTTTTGAAACAATTATCATTTTATGAAGAGATGCGTACAGGAACATGCAGTTTTTTAATATTGCTGTTTAATAATGCTTTTTCGATGAACACATTGGATTATAATTCTCAGCACAGCACAGAGATGAAAAACTACTAGTACACATGTGCACTGACTGTGCTTTGGTACGTACAAAAATGTGTACTGGTGCGTCTTAATATATTCCATTTCCATGGTCCGACTAATATACTAGTAGTTGAAAATAATTTATAATCCGATGTGTTCATCATCATACAGAATACATGACATCCATGTAGCATCTTTAATTTATGATCCAGTATCCGAATTATTCTATTATATTGTGTAGGTATTTATCATCGATCTCATTGCGTAGCGAAGATTTCAACCTCACATAGACTCAGATTTCGAACAATCTGTCTTAGTTGGACGCTAACATAACGTCCAGTCAAATACGAGTCGCATTTACAGAACAGTTCTATGGTTTCAATCTTGTTGACTCCAGACTTTGTCAGTCTTGTGTCGCAGAGGGCGTTGTCTTGCAACGCGTCGGGATCGTCCCCAACACGGATCTCAGCCCCATCCAGTTTGAACGCTGTGAATATGAAAACAAATATCATTAAATTTAAGTTCCAATTCACCGCAATTTCCAATCATGTGACATATATACCGCGACAGCAGGGGTTAATACAAATATAAATTCATGCACATGCCTCACGGTTTTACACCGCCCGCGTAGGTCAAAAAACCGATTGACGAAAAGAACTTATAAGCAAATGGCCGCTGAGATCTCATGGAGAGCGAGAAGAGGCGAGATTTTGTTCCCCACAAATATTCCTCCATTTTCTCAATCGCGTCAGTTATTCCTACCTATATGGAACCATTGCATTTGAACTATGACTGTAACCATGAGTGTAAGCTACGAGGGCGGAATTTACAAAATTGGATATAATTTTTAAAAAGTTGAATGACTTCTCTGAAACTACTTACAGCAACAATCCATTCTATTGGTTATAACAACTTTCCATACGTTATGAGATGAACCCAGGTCAACCATCCACCACGGATCCTCTTCTTTTTTTGTCAAACTGCACGACCCGTCGTTGAAGTCGCTGTTTTTATTACCATCCACAACGCGATCACTCTTGGCCCTTTGCTTTACCGAACTCGTGGAAGTAGGTTTGTGCAGGGCGACGTTTTCGGCACGTGCAGGTACGTAGCACACTAGAAAGCAACAAAAACATGATCAAGCCGTGAAACTTAAAGGGCGGTGGTCGCCGCGCAGTGCGCGTTCGAAATTCATGTATTTTACACGCGTTGTATACGTCGCTATAGGTCCCGTGTCGAACCTCAGACTCAGTATAAGCAGACTATCAACGCCTATTGTCGTCTGCGCCCGTAGGATGCGTGCCTCAACAACCCTTGCTGGTAGTTTATTGACACATGTTAACCCGAAGATTCCCGAACGCACTCGCCTTTACCGGAAATTCAAACTGTGTGTTTTGACCTTTCGTTCGTCGTTTCTGTTCAAATCGCCCGATTTTGGGGTCAATTACAGCATTTTTAATATCTACTTTTGTGTACGACATTTATGAATATATAATGAGCAACTTTATAGTAGTATTTCTCATTTTTCTATAAAGGTGCGGACGCTTCGTAGTTTTTGTGAACAATTAGTTTGAAAACTTGATATGCTTACGCAACTAAGCGACTGAAGTCATTGAATATTCAGTAGGAAGCTCATATTTTAAAAGAGCATAAATTTTAGCTATCTCTACTCTTATTTGGTCCATAATTACAGAAATATAGAGAATAAACACAGAAATAACGAGCATATGTTTTGTGTAGATTATTTAACCAAGAAAAAGAGAGAATGAACTACGAATGAACGAATACTATTACTCCATGTGTACATCTCGCACTATCCCGCGTTATTTGATGAAAAAATAATGCATATCGCGTTATTACGTTATAGTCGCGTTAGTTCGATTGGTTGTTTATTAGATTAAAAACTTAAGCCCAAAAACAAATGTCACGTGGAACGCATCTTACTAAAGGAAAAGCCGCATTGCTAGTCTGAGGTTTATAGTAGCCTGAGATCGAACAGAAAGTGGCGTGACGAACATCGCCATTTAAGATATCGATAAATGCTACAAAATATATTACCCTTTTCAGTTGTTGTAGGAGGTAGCGTGGTTGGCATCAGAGTTGTTGGCATTTCGAGTTCATCTGGCAGAGTCCATACTTCAACTTCACACAATGACAAAATCTGCTTCTTTCCTACAATTTGTATACTGACATAGCGCCCTCTGCCAGGGTTACCACACTCACACGTGACCTTGACAGTCTCGAGACTTGCTTCCTGCCCAGTAATGGTGGTGTACCTGCAGAGCTTGTTTTCACGGAAATCTTCTCGATTACCAACTCGTATCTCAGCTCCCTTCAATCGAAATGCTATAAATGTACCGTGATATGTTAGAATTGTATAAATAATTCCATAGTTCAACTACATCACGTGACTTTGCAAGTGTTATTTCAATGTGGATTATGTAAATACCTTACAATAATTCCTCTAAAACAAGAAACGGCAAATTGCACTGTTCGTTGAATGGCGCCCTCTGACAGCAAAGGTTCAAACATCGCTATCATTGCTATACACAAAGGGACAATACCACGAATAAAATCGAAATGGCGAAACACTGACTATATGGCCGAAGTTTTGGATCACAGAACGGTTAGTAACCGTGGTCTCAGGGACGCCACATGCAATTAATGTGTATTTGTCTATCAATAATGTAGTTGACAGATTTGATATCTAATTACCGAACGTCCACACAACAACAATTGTTTTTATCTATCTACGTCATTTATTTCAAATCTGGAAATCGCCTCATCAATAGAGGGCGCTACGCATAGCGATACTGTATCCAGTTGGCAATACTCACAACAGCAGTCCATTCTATTGGTGATGATTACTTCATAAACAGTTCGCGTCTTTCCAAGATCTACCACCCAGTATGGTTCCTCTTCTTTATTCGTCTGTGTGCAAGATTTGCCTGCATAGTCACTATTATGAGTACCATCTACGGCTCTTTTTGCTTTACCACCTCTGTTTTCCGAACTCTGGATAGCCGACATGCCTTGAGCCGAATTGATTAGACCCTCGGGAAATGGACAAGCTGAGAATGAATTGAAAATTGTAATTAAGTACATTTCGTCGATCAGTAAAGTCCAAGGTATATTAAAGCAATTCATACACTTTACGGTGATACCTCACGTACACGAGGTACTGTAAAATACTTTATTTCTGCTTGGTATTTATTTTAGCTATTTTCTATGAGGGATGATTCAGTGGAAATAAAATTAAGCGAATATACCTTTTTCCCTACATTTAACATTAAATTCATCAAAAATCAATGAAAATAAATCCCATACAAAACACCCAATAAGTCTTTTAAGCGAAAATTAATAAAAATAAAATAAGTATTTTACAGTATGAAAATTACATATTACTAAAATTAAAAGTATCTTCTCTCTCTCTCTCTCTGTTCTAATTATTTCAACAATACTCAGAAGAATCATATAGTGATTAAAATGTGATAACCAGTAATATGAGCGTCTTTTTTATTCACTAAACATCGTAGACACTCACTCATCTCGCCTTGACCACCCCAATCAGCAAGCACAGGGAACTGTTCCCCTCCTGATACAAATACTTGAACTTCACACAGCGCCAACATCTGGTTCTTATCCGCAATCTGAATACTGACGTAGCGACCTCTGATTGGTTCGCGACAACCACACATTACATTAATGGTTTTCTGCTCCGCTATATCGCCAGTGATTCTCTCCTCGCCACACATTTCGTTGTCTAAAATGGTGGGACTTTCACCAACACGAACTTCTGCGTTCTTGATTCTGTAAGCTGAAACACGAAGAAAGTAAACAGTTGACCTGATTTGTGTTATATATTTGACTCCTGGTCGCGTCCTTCATGTTTGATTTTAACATACTTGTATATGACTTGAGCTTCGGAGATATTCGGCATTATTCGCCTACCCATAATGCACTGCATGATTTGAAGATCAGTGCATAGTATTAGTAATTGTGTTAATGACAGTAGATCCACCGATCGATATAGGTATGAAATTAGTTCACGATGATATTCAAAATCAAAGACCAACTGTTATAACTTACAGCAACAATCGAATCTATTCGTGATAACAACCTTATAGACGTCGTAGGAGTTACCAAGGTCCAGCTGCCACCAAGGTTCAGACTCCTTCTCCGTCTGACTGCAAGATTTCCCACCAAGGTCACTGTTCTTGATGCCATCCACAGCACGTGTGGGTTTATTTGGACCTTTTGTAGAACTTTGTCTCACAGGTTTGTCTTTTGCAATGTCTTCAAGACCATCGGGAAGAGGACACCCTGTAATGATAAAGGACATCACTTATAAATATGGTTTTGCCAATTGATTACTTTGGGTATTTTTCATGAATGTGGTAAGTGTATGTGCAAGTCACATAGTATACAGACAACATGATGTTTTCATCATTATGTTATACAAGCAACCTAATCTATACAACTAGATATAACAACTACGATGATGATGACAATACAACGCCGGATTTGATTGTGTAGTAGAATCTTAAGAACACGCATAACAACTACAAAATGGAACCAAGACAACATTGTACAGCATATACTAGTATATATACGTACACTAGGTGACACAGTGAATGTGTTGAATAGTTTTTTTTAAATCTCCGTGGTTCTATATTACTGTATCATTCCTGTTGCCATTGACAACACATAAGTTAGAAATGCACCTGAATTTCAATACAATAGAATATTTCGCTGGCCATACCCAGATAGTATCACCAGGCAGGGAAAGTTTAGTTAATATGAAAGCACCAGTGCAGTAGTTTAAAGGATATTTCATTTATGTAAATTAGATAGAAATCAAACACGAATGGGGCGTCTTATGGAGGCATTACACACTCATTACCTGTTAATATCTTCGGCAAGGGCACGGGCAAACAACACAATGCTTTCTGATGAAAGAGTATCATGAACATGCAATATTTTTCACAGCAGAAGCTATGATATCATACCCACAATCCTTTGCTGAAAAGGTAAATGTATTGAGTTAAACTCTTCCGACTGGAATCATTATGCTGTTTTTCAGGACTCAATTAAACAATGTAAATGCAAGTTTCTCCGTGATGCTCTGTGCCGAAATACTCACGTTCAGGCAGCACTGTTGTGAATAGACTTTCATCTTGATAGAATGCAAAAACTTCAACTTCACACAAGTTAAGAGACTTGTCTCGTCCACTACTGGGAAGAGAAACAGAAATGAACCTTCCAGAGATTGGCTGGCCGCAGTCACATATAACATCAATGGTTTCCAGAGCAGAATCGTCAGCTGTGATCCTCCCACATAGGCCATTCATTTTGTAGTCATCATGACTACCAACACGGATTTCAGCGTTCCTCAATCCTCCTGCTGAAAAATGTTGAAACGTATACCGTTAATGCATTGATTATTCACCGGGTTTGAATTTTGCTATTTTCGCTGATAAGTAAAATCCGCTAACTTAAATCCACGTCAACATAAAATAAAAATAAAACTCATTGTTTCCTTGACAAATTCGTGATATTAAAACACAGTGAATATGCTCAAAATGGTGAAATGTCAATGAAAATAAATGGTTTAACAGTATTTTAAGAACTTGAAACTGAAATGTGTCAGACATGCAGATTTTATTTCCAGTTTTTATGTATGTTGATAAGCTTGTTTTGAGTAATTCAGTTAATTAGTATAATACCGTAACGCGTAGCTTTAGTATTAACGTGAATTCAACTAAATGACAAGGACGCTTGAGTTGCGCCCTCCGCAGTGCTCCAAACCCAACACGGATAGTTGGGTCTGATGCCGTTCGGCCGGCGAGGGCGCCACTTACGCCTACATGTCAGGCTAAGGTTGCAAGTAATGTTTTATCTGAGGATTTGCAGTTTATATCATTTGCGTTTATTTAACGACCATGCTCCCGAGTGTTACGAAGATCCTTTACTATAATAAGACTTTATAAGATTCATGCATTGTTAATTCATTCATTGTTCATATATTTAAAGTTAAAGCTGGGAGTCGTCATCTGCGCATGCGGTGGACGACATGTTGTTGTTTACAAACAAGCGTCGACCCATGAGCCTTTGCGTTATCAGTATGCGTTGTTATCGTCGCATGGGACTCAATTTCCGTGCGCGGATGAAAAACTGATGTTTTGTTGTGGGAATTATAATACTTACTACAGCAGTCGAGCCTGTTAGTGATGGTCACGTGATAAATATCGCGTGATCTACCGAGATCGAGTTTCCACCACGGTTCCTCTTCTTTGCTTGTCAGGGTACAAGAACGTCCAGCAAAGTCGCTGTTCTTATCACCGTCCACCGCCCGCAATGCGTTTGCGTTTCTCTCTTCCGAACTCTGAAATGCGTTCTTTCCCTCTGCTATGTTTACCAATCCATCGGGAACAGGGCATGCTGTAACACATCGTGAACAAGTTGTTATATCATACACTGACTACTTTCAGTTATTGAGATTAATTAACCGCTCACCTGTTTCACTGTAAGTTAGCACAGTACTTAAAGGGCCATCTCCAGTTAAGCCCAATCTCACAACAAACTTGCTTTTTGGATTAAAATTACAAGGATAACAAAAGACTGATTAACATTGTAAACAACATAAACAATAGTGTCCCATGATTCCTTAATTAATTTGATTATTAATCAAAAATAAAATTCAGAAATAAAGTAAGAACAATTTAGAACGAAATGACCCCTAACCCATACCAATAATAATTTTCATAATTAATGATTACACGTGAATATTAAGACAAAACATAATTTGTTATATTCTTAACATTTTTGTAATTCATTTGTTTTGAATTATAACTGTAAGTAGTTGAAAGAAAATATGTGGCGTGTTTAACAACTCATGATTGAACAATAATTTCAATAATATGATTTTACTTGGTATCAGTAATTTATTTGCGCCCATTAAAATGGAATTGACAATGTAATCAGTATTAATTCATGGTGTTACAGGTTCTAGAAGTCGTGTATGAGTCTTACTCGCTGTGATATGAACTTATGTTTGACTTACGATCTACAGTTGTTCGAAGCATTGCACTCTGGGTAGTTGGTTCCAGCGTTGTAAACTCCAGTGGTCCATGTGCCCAAACCTCTACTTCACATAGCGTTAGCGATTGCGTTGTGTTGGGCAGATATACACCGACAAAACGCCCGGTAATTGGCTTACCACAACTACAAATGACGTCAATTTTCTTCTCATTGGCTGCTGCACCAGTTATTCTTGTCCCGCATAGGGTAGCTTCGTCAAGACTTCTGGTGTGACCAATAACAACCTCCGCATTTTTCAGTCGATAAGCTAGATTCGATATGAATAATTAATAACGTCTATACATTACCCAGGGACACCGTGAAATGATATATGTTTGTTTAACAGCACGGAAGGCACACACTGATGCATCATGGGAGTAAGAAATCTGTTTTCTTGACAACACGGCTTGATTAATAGTACCCTCTTTAAATCCTTCTATTGAAAAATCTAAATTTTCAATCTGTGATACAGATAATGAGTTAAAGGGACATAGTCCGAGTTTTTTCGCCATTTTGTTCACATTGTTTTAATTCATGTAATATTGAGCCGGAACCACCTTCCTATTACCAAATGAGAAAGCTCATTGTGTTATATTGTGGAACTGCATATATGTATAATAGTAGCTAAAAACTTATGCTCATCATCATGATTGGTCTTTATAATGTCAAGTGTCCCGGGGTTACAATGAAAGAACAGTCGTTTGCCAATATTCTGCTGTGCGTTGAATTGATTGACATTTGGTACTTTAATCTCCAATCACGTTGTACTTTCCCGAGATTCGAAAGAATCTACACAGTGTATAAAGTAAGATACTTACAGCAACAATCAGCTCTATTGGTGATTGTGACGTAATAAATATCGCGAGATTTCCCGAGATCAACTTGCCACCAAGCTTCATGTTCTTTGTTGGTTTGTGAGCAAGAACCACTTGGCAAGTTCCAGCTGTTACTGTTTTTGTCAACGGCCCGGTTGGCATCTCCATTCCCCTTGGTCGAGCTCTGTGTCGCAAATCTGTCTTCAGCCACGTTCAGCAAGTCGCTTGGAACTGGACAACCTGGAATGTGGGAGTTAATATAGTTATCCTATTTGGCCAATACCTGCTATATAAAAATCACTTGTGAATCTATAATTCAAGTATTTTTTTTAAATCGATGTCTCTGGATCTACTGGTGTGTTGCAATACTTCCTACTTCCCCGGACTGCTGGTGATTGTCCCAGCAACTGCCGCGTTACACTACATAAATTATGTAATCGTTAGCCTCTTCCATGAACTTGTGTAATTGGTTTGTTTTGACATTTAAGTGAAAACAACAGTTTTACAGTGTATTGAGTTGAAAATCCGCGCTCGAATTTAAAACGCACTTGATTAATACTACTCACTGTTCTAGTTTGAGGTAAAGGAATTGTTTCTTTTTGACAAAGATATAATATTTGAAATTTTCTTTTTCAAATAGATTTCCAAAATGTGAAAATGTAATGATGTCAACTTACTTTCCAAAGTATCAGCAGTAGTTGTCACTTCAACGTCATCTAAAGACCATACGTCTACCTCGCATAAGGTCAGAGTTTGTGTCTTGTTTTGCAGCTGAATGCTGACGTAGCGTCCTCTGATTGGCTCTCCGCATTTGCAGACGACTTCAATCGTTTCCTGCAGTGACACTCGTCCGGATACTCTTTGGCCGCACACTGTATTTTCTGCAATATTTTCACTGTCGCCGATTCGAACCTCAGCGTTCTTCAGCTTGAAAGCTGAAGAAAAAATCTAATCAGTTTATAATTGAAGAACGGTGGTCGTTGCACCACGCATGTGCAATATTTGGGTCGCAAAGTAACAAAGATGGCGACTCTGTCTGTTGCGCAGATCAACGAGTACATGTCATTTTCTCAGTAATTGGAACACTATATTTTTTCAAAATGGAATTATTTTGTCCATGTTTATTTCATTTATGCACGAAATGTGTCATAATGTAGTATTGTGATGATAATATAGCAGGAATACGTATGCATATCCACGATAATACGTTTTCCTGCTATATTATCATCACAATCGAAGTAGTCACCGACGGTCAATGTTTATCAACAAAAATGTCGCACCTGTGCGGCGCAACGACTACCACCATTTAACTGCCGAGATCCACGTTATCTACTTAAACGTCATAATATAAAATTAAACAAGATTTAAGCATGGTACCCATTGCCATGACCGTAAATTATTGTTTGACGCAACCATATAATGTGACTCAATATTTTTGAGTCCCGTGGATTTGTTATGATACTGATGGAGATGGTGTGGAATTGAGAATGTCTCTTGAATTAACAGACGGGAGGCGCGCTGACAAAACGAATACGATTAACCAATGACAGTATGGTTACAACTGAGTGCTATGTTATAACTGCACATGCTCGAAATTGAAACATTTTCAATAATGTTTAGTTTATAGTATATTTTGTGTCTGTATTTTTCATAATATTTCATATAATTTTAATAAACCAACAAAAGTACTCACGGCAACAGTCTTGTCTGTTTGTGATGGTAATCATGTACACATCGCGAGATTCTGCGAGATCAACGCGCCACCAAGGTTGATACTCCTTTTTAGTCTTAGTGCACGATTTCCCAGAAAAGTCGGTGTTTCTATTGTCGTCGACTGCCCTCTCTGGTACTCCGCCATTCTGAAGGGAGCTTTGTGTTGCTGGCATTTCAGTGGCTATGCTGATCAAATCAGGAGGCATGGGACACGCTAAACAAAAAATAAATAAATAGAAAAATAATTAAATTTGTTCTCTACTTCATTAAATTCAAGATTGTGAAGCCATTTGTTTGACCTGATATAAATATTTCAAACATCTTTAATCTTTTTTGCGGAGATTCCCAGGAAATACCAACAGATACGCCGAATTTAATACTGCAATACTGTAAAGGGGGTAATTATTCACTGGGTTTTAATTTAGCTTATTTCGCTGACTGGAAAATGCGCTAAATTAAAACCCAGTGAATATGTAAAATTTAGCATAGAACACATTATCTAAATGACGAAACCGTGAATTTAAAACCGACTGAATATGCCTGAAATGGTAAATCAGTGAAATTTAAACCCAGTGAAAATTAGTCATTTTACAGTAACTCAAATATTCTGTGTATTACGTTGCTAAACAAACTAGATGACAAAAGCCTGTGAAGTATGGGTTTATTGGAATTTGACGAAACACATCATCCGTTCATGATCATCCCCCTCTCCTCTTAGAGAAGGGAGATTATACCTTGAAAATTCAAGGTGAACGAAACATGGTTTTATTTATAAAACAAAACAAAACATTTGATAAAAAATATTTTAGATTTAACCATATAAGGTGACAAGATCAGTAATCTTACGTTCTGCTGTCGTGTAATCTGCATCTGGTGCGAAGGTGAATGGTTCAGCTGTTCCCCAGTCAATCGGTGCCGCCGTTAAATCTAACACGTTATGTGCCCATACTTCAACTTCACACAGTGTGAGTGTCTGTTTCTTATTTGGTATTTGAACACTGACATAGCGACCTCTAACGGGTAAACCACAACCGCAGTACACGTCGATGGTTTCCTGGTATGCCGTGGTGCCACTGATGGCGAAGTTACCGCATAAATCGTTATCGCTGATATCGTAGCTGTTTCCGACGTGAATCTCGGCGCCTTTGATTCTGAAGTCTACAAAAAAAATGTGATAATTATACGATTACACATCGGTATCAACAACTGGGTACAAAATTATGAGTAGTGGGGTGGTGGTGGCCGTCGCGCCGCGTCCTGTTAGATATGGGACTCATAGTGACGTGTAGTGCGTGCGTGACCGACGCTCGCGCACGACACCTATATTCGCGTCACGGCACGTCTCCCCCTCGGCCACCGGATATCCTATAAAAAGGACGCCTATTATGTGCAGAGAGCGAGAAACCCGTTCTCTCCAAACTACGCCAGAAAGCGTAGCCAGACATTGCGGCAAATTGCTGCATTGTTAGTACTCACCACAACAATCTTTTCGGTTTGTAATGGTCACTAAATACACATCTTTTGGTTCCAATAAATCGACTACCCAGTATGAGTTCTGTTCGCGTTTTGTCTGAGTGCACGAATTACCAGCGAAATCGCTGTTCGTATCTCCGTCTACCGCCCTCTCTGGCACAGCCCCCGCTGTCGTTGAGCTTTGTCTGGCAGGCATGTTCGCCGCAACATTCTCTACGTCGTACGGAACAGGACAGTCTGAAATGAGATTGGTTATAGAGTTGACAAGTTGACTACACCACGTACAATGGGGGAATATGTAAGTGTGTCTGCGAAATCTGACATGGCAATGCAACCGATGTTATTGTGCACAACTTCAACAATTTGAAATATGTGAATTCAGCGTTATGTAAAGATCGCATTGTATCGGATAAATGAATAAATTTAGATTAATGTTATTTGTATAAATTCGTTTTTTAATTCGCTTGTATATTGGCATTATCGCTCGCAATTAAATGTGAAAACTGACACCAACGCCGCCATAGCACGTTGCGGGCGTAATGAAACTTACAGTAAGGTTGCGGCACAGCTGTCTGCCCCGATGGCAGAGTTACCGGTGCCGGTTGAGGACCTGGCTGGGGGTAGACAGTCCGCCCTGAAGGTAGAATTACCGGGTTTGGTCCGATGCCTGGCTGAACAATTTCTCCAGAAGGCAGTGTCACGGGGGATGGCAGTAGTGGACCAATGACTCCGGTGTTAGGGATTGGCTGCATCGTTCGTTGAATCAATTGTTGTGGATTTCCATACACTTCCACTTCACACAGTGTCAGCGCTTCTCTCTGTCCAATGAGCTGCACGCTAACGTAACGTCCGACTAAAGGCAGACCGCATGCGCAGACAACGTCAATGCTCTCTTGCTGTACAACGTCTTCGGGAATCATGCTTCCACATACGGAATTTTCCAGAATGTTTTCGCTGTTGCCAACACGTATCTCAGCATTCAGTATGCCATTTGCTGCAAGAGAAACAACGTTGCTGACACAACTTAGGAGAAAATATCCAAACAAATTTGAATGTACTACTAGTGCATAACACAAAGTAGACGTAAAACTCCTTTTTTTTTTTTACAGAACACATAAATAAAATCTTATATGAAACTTACAAAATGCATATGCGCATTGAATTGATAGTACGTACCAGAATTTCAACTTGAATCGGACGTGCATTTGCGTGGTTCATTGCACGTCCCTAATAAATCAAATACTATATATATTTTTTAAATCGTCTTGAGTTAAAGCAGGAGGGTCGTCACCTGCGCACGCGCGGAAATTGAGTCCCAGCGACAATAACAACACACGCTAAAACGCAAAGGCTCATGGGTAGACAATGACACGCAATGGCCATCTAACGCATGCGCAGGTGACGACTCCTCCGCTTTAAGCTTTCTGTAAATGTTTCACATACATCAGCCATTCAAGGTACTATGATGAATTTGTTTTTGCGTATCTGTTGACTGACTTAATTAGCTGATTATTAGCTGAATGGCTGTGTTATGTCTGTCATCGTTCAGGCCTATTTGAAGTTTTGGACGGAACTTGGCTCAGTGATTTGGAACTAATTACGAGATAACCCTCGCTATTCGGACTACTATTTCTGACAGTTGGTATCCGTATTTATTAATGTAGTGAACGATTAATCAAAAGATATGACGTATTCAGTACTTAGTGTGATTGGCTTTATGATTGAAGGTTACGCCCTAGAGTCTTTTTACTGTTTTGTACTTGGTTAGTGTTTTGAAAATGAATAAAGAGAGTTTGAGTTGGTCTTGGCGAGTACAGCACGATGGACGCAGTCGTGGTCCAGTCCTGGGGCGAGCCTTGAGGCAGTCCAGTCTTGGGCGAGTCTTGGGTCAGCCTTGCGATAGATAGTCTTGGGGATTTTTCCCCAGGGCGCTGTGTCTTATAGAGTGCTCGACTGATCGACTAAGACGAGAGTTGAACCGTATTTCGTTGTGTGTGTCTTATTTGACTGTAAAGCTTAAGTGACTTCCCCGATCCCGTACCTCAGGGGGACGCGATAGAGAGCCGAGACGAGATTCCCCCCTGGCACGTGTGGAGAACCCCGAAGAGAAGAATTTCTCCCTGATACTACTGTAACAAAAGATGATTGTTACTTACCACAGCAATCCTGTCTATTCGTGATCGTCACCTTGTACACTTCGTGCTCGTCCTCAAGATCGACTTTCCACCATGGTTCCAATTCTGTCCGAGTCTGTGAGCATGA